AAAGCTTTAGGACCCAGGTTTGGGTGTGGTTTTTTTGCAAGCACATCTCGTAGGCCAACCTAACAGTAACTCCACGTTTTAATGCACACAACAGAGCACTAGAACTAGATTGGAAGACCAGGTATTTCAGTATATCCATTTTCCTCCCATTAAACAGAATTTTCTAAGTTCTTTTTCCTTGCCCTCCCCACGTTAATATCACACACAGCTCTGAAGCTGTGCTCAGTAAGCTGCACGCAGAGAGAATCTTGATTAGTAAACTGTGGTAGCCACAGAGGGAGGGATGAAATTAATTATCTGTGGAGATCTTGCTCCGTGCTGGAGGTGCTTTATAGCAGGGATGCACTTCAACAAACCAACCATCACAGGAAAAAAAAAAATCCCTATCAGAGCACAGCTGCCTATCTGCCAGCCCCTCACAACAGAGATCTGCAAGGAGAATGTGTGTTCACCACCAAACCTGAGCTGAGGAGACCTATTCCATCGCAGCCACTCGTTGCCTCACAAAAAGTGGTGGAAGTTTTTGAAGTCGCTGGCTCTGGAGCTGGGAATCTGGGGAGGGTGCGTGTCGGGCTTGGAACAGCTGCCTTGGAAGCTCACACAAAATCAGCTACAACGGTGCAGCCGGGCCAGGACACCACCCAGCCAGCAGCCATATGCTGTATGCTTTTCCTTTGTGGTTGCAGAGCTGTTCCAAAAGCTAAGCTTTCATTCCAAAAATGGGGAAGGGAAAAAAAAAAACCAACCAACAACTCAAAACCCACCAAGTCTTCAGCCCATTCAAATCTAGACTGGCTTTTTCTACAGCTGCAAATCATACAGTGTTTAGCAAGAGTGTGGACAGAAACGTGCTGTGCCCTGCTCCTGGCTAACCTGTTCCCTGAAAAGGTGTCACTTTTTAAGGCAAAAACCATCTAAAGGATGGATCTGATGTAAAGATGTGTGCTGATGGGCAGCCAGGCTTGAGAAAACACAGCCACCAGAGATGGGAAGTGCCTCGCTGAGCGCAGGAGGTGTGAAGGACAGCCAGTGGTTTAAATGGAGCCATTAACCACAGCCCTGCTGGTGGCACCTGTGGGACACTGTCACACTGGCTGCCTTCCTCCCTCTGAGAGCTCTCTAAATGCCAATGCTCTCTTCAGTCATCTTCCTAGGGAGGGAAAAAAGACACAAAACCCAAGAAAAAAAAACACCATCCAAACACCTGAGCTGAGCATCCATCCAAGAAGGAAACCAGAGTGACTGCAGAGCAGCCCAAAGGCATGAGTTTTGAGTCAAAATAGTACAGAACCGTATAAAACACCACAGACCATATTTGTTAGTCCAACATTTGCCCCCTGGGCTCAGTCCCTGCTCAGAGAGCAGCTCCTTGGAGATAGGGCTGCAATCAACATTTCCATTCACACTGATCTTTGATTACACACAGGTAACCCTGGAATGCCCAGAAGCAGCTCTGCTGAAAGATCCTCTGTTTGCCCACACTCCCCCAAGTCCATCTTCTGTTGTTTGTTATTACAAATTTCCAGTATAAGGACCATTTTTGGTTTTAAACAACTAAGTATGTAATATCACTCTTAAAAGCTTTCCCTTGTTTCACAATGTTTGATAAAGCCAGATACATTTTATGAGGGTGACAACATGGGCTTTTGTTCAGTTTTAATTCCAGTGCTCAGTATCTCCTGATGAATAGTTAAGAGAACTATGCATAAACTAGACCTCATTTTAAAGAAAACAAAAAACTTTGTTCCTCCAGCCCAGAAATCATCTGAAATGCAAGGAAAAACACTGAGCTGCATTTCTTGAGCAACTGGCATTTTCAGGATTTCTTCTGTGCCCCTGAACACTTGACTTAGGATTTTTTTCAATACCCAAACCAGATACTCTTCAGCAGTTAAGTACCATTATACAGCAGTTTAACAGCACTGCATTAAGTCTAAGTTTGCTCATTAGCTTCTTCCAGATAGATATTTCCAGACATTTGCATCAGTAGAGTCAAGAGGCTGCTTGCATAACTGCTCTAAGTGAGGGGGGGAATCTCCTGAAGGCTTTTTAATATGATCTTTCATAATTCAAGTTCTTGGGAATTCGTACCGAAGTAGGAAAAATGGATTCATTAAATAGTTCACTTTCACCTAATGCCTTCTGCATGCTTCACTCTTAAGCTATAAAGCAACAAGCAAGCACCTTTCCATACTTGTCTGTGGTCAGGAGACAGCCTTCTATTTGAAGTGAGAGGAAAAACCCTTCCCTCTGCCTGTGCAGGTCACGAGCCAAAAGAGAAGTTTTACAAACCGAGATTCTTCCTCCTATCCTGTTCAATAGCTTAAGAGTGTCTGATCAAGAAAAAACTTAAGGACTTGGGGATTAAAATAAAAAAAAAAAAATAATGAAGGGAGAGAGAAGGTTAAGTTTCCAGAAATATGTAAATCGCTTCATTCTACTGGAGATGTCTTAATAAATCTTAGAATTGGGCAAAAATCCACATCCCCAGTCCCAGCCAGAAACAAATCTTGAGACACAGAAAAAGATTAACATATGCTCAGTTCAGACCTGCTTATTTTCTTCTTAAAATGCTTTTACTGAATTAAATCAAGCCATCCTTACCATTTTATCAACAGAAGGAATTCTGCTTCTTTAAGACAACACCTCAGTCTGTTCCTGTTTCCCCAACACAAGGGGAAAATGTTCCCCAGGGGCATAAGTAAGATAACAACTTAGTCCCTTTTACTGATGAAGAATCTTCAGATCTTGAAAATACACTTCCCCACATCTATTTTTTTTTTTTCCTTATGAAAGATTAAGACCTGAAGTTACATACACCAGTCTGTTACAACAATGGGAATTTAAGGTTACATACCAAAAGGCAGGGAAGCCAGGAAATGAAAACTGGTTTCCATAGGAACAGTAACAGCCTTCTCACCTCATCTTCTACACACACTGGAGCACACACTTCAGGGGTCCAAAGCAAAAGGTCCTTCACTTTTCCATTGCATTAGCTGGCAGCTGTAAAACTTACTTGTAGCACGTTCCTGATAGAATTCCAGTGAAAAGCAAGTCACAGATCCCCTGACATACAGCATGCTACCTATATGCCCAGGGCATCCAGAGCTGGCACTCACACCTATTGATTAGCACAGAGACTCCAAGTGCAAGTACTTGGAAAGAAGGGTTCAGGCAGCCCTGAGCTATGCCAGCAAAACCCCAATATGTGGCTCAGTGCCTGTATCCAAGCTCAGTGACACTAACTGGACACAGGGACACTTGCCATACACTGACAGAACCATTTCACTCCAAGGACAGCCTGGGTTTCACTCACCTGCTGCATTTTGTGCTAGAGAGCATATCAAGAGCATGGGATGTTTGGAAAGCTCATTTACAACAACCAGCTCCAACTCTTCTTTTCTATCCACAGTGCTGGATATACACCAGAGGGATGAAGACCACACGTGCTCCAGTTCCTCACACCTTACAGACCTCACTTCCAAGCTGTACACATTTGGTTGCCAGAGGCCCTGCCCAGCACAAACCACCTTCAGTTTTTGTGCTGCCTGAGCCAGCAGCCAGGTAAGAATACACCTCAGTGCCTCTCTGGGCTGAGACACGTTCAGAACAGAAGGGAGTGAAGTCAGTTCCCAGTGTCCCCAAGGTGTAACCCTCAGAGTGCACTGCTAACACTACACATGGTCCTGCTGCCCACAACACACAGACCTTGGTGCAGTTTGTAGCTTCCCTTCTCCTGCT